TGTTACCCTGTTACCTTGTTACTCTGTTACCTTGTTACCCTGTTACCGTGTTACTCTGTTACTCTGTTACCCTGTTACCTTGTTACCCTGCTCCCTTGTTACCTTGTTACTCTGTTTCCTTGTTACCCTGTTACCTTGTTACTTTGTTACTCTGTTACTCTGTCCCCTTGTTACCTTGTTACCTTGTTACCCTGTTACCATGATACACTGTTACTTTGTTACCCTGTTTCCTTGTTACTCTGTTACCTTGTTACTTTGTTACCCTGTTACCTTGTTACTTTTGTTTCTCTGTTACCATGTTACCTTGGTACCTTGTTACTTTGTTACCATGTTACCTTGTAAGAAGGTAGCAGGGTAACAAGGCAACAGAGTAACAAGGTAACAGAGTATCAAAGGAAACAGAGTAACAAGGTAACAGGGTAACAATGTAAACAGAGTATCAAGGTAACAAGGTAACAGAGTAACAACGCAACAGAGTAACAAGGTAACAGGGTAACAAGGTAACATAGTAACAAGGTAACAGAGTATCAAGGTAACAAGGTAACAGAGTAACAAGGCAACAGAGTAACAACGTAACAGGGTAACAAGGTAACAGGCTAACAAGGTAACAAGGTAATGGGGTAACATGGTAACAAGGTAACAGGGTAACAAGGTAACAGAGTAACAAGGTAACAGGGTAACAAGGTGACAGAGTAACAAGGTAACAGAGTATCAAGGTAACAAGGTAACAGAGTAACAAGGTAACAGGGTAACAGAGTAACAAGGTAACAGGGTAACAAGGTGACAGAGTAACAAGGTAACAGAGTATCAAGGTAACAAGGTAACAGAGTAACAAGGTAACAGGGTAACAAGGCAACAGAGTAGCAAGGTAACGGAGTAACAAGGTAACAGGGTAACAAGGTAAAAGAGTAACAGGGTAACAGAGTAACAGAGTAACAAGGTAACAGGCTAACAAGGTAACAAGGTAACGGCGTAACATCGTAACAAGGTAACAGGGTAACAAGGAAACAGAGTAACAAAGTAACAGAGTAATAAGGCAACAGAGTGACAGGGTAACAAGGTACCAAGCAAAAAAGGGAAGGTATAACTTATGCAAGTTAAGTCGGTACAATATATGTCCCCATAAATCAAGTACCTACCGAAATTAGGCCCTGTTTGCTCTACCACGGCACAATAAACCAGAAATGTTGTTAGTTTTTATTTGCGTGTTGTAAGGAAGCCTGTTGTTAGGAACAGAATCTATGGTTTCTCTACCTTATTTGGAATAATTATGTAAATTAAACAATAAAGTAATTGTGGTAGGTAAAAAAAAATTGTTGGCTCTAGAAATGGCTTCCTGTTAACAATTTTTTTGCAAAACAAACAACATTTTGCATAGCATGAAAAGGGCCTTCAGTGAAGCTACTCTACAAGCTTACTTGGAGCTCTCTACAAGACATACACCCTCACAGCCATAATTTCTATGCTCTCTCTACCTTATTGGGAATAATTATGTAAATTAAACAATAAAATAATTGTATAATACCCCCACCAACCCAAACAGACTTGACAAGGTGACTTAATAAACAAGCATAGCAAATAATATCTCAACATGGAACAGGATGCCTTAATAATAGGCCATCATTTTATTTGGATCAGTCTTCTGCCAGTTAAATTGAGAATTACAATTAATGGACTTCTTTACGTAACAGTGTTGCTACAACCAGCTGTCGGCTTGAGACACTGCAGTGATATAAGTATTCATTAAAAATGCAGTGGCAACTTTGAAAAGGGGGAAATCCCATGAATTGTTATTAGAAGTTTCCCCCTAAGCTGGTTATAGTCTACAATGCACATTGTACTCTATGCTAGAAGAATTAATGGTTCATAAAAGTGATAAACTAAATATTAATGTTAAAGAATCTATACTTGTCTTCTTTTAACTTGGACTGTTTCTTATGTGATCATTCAATTTTGTCTTCAGGTCAGATGACAGACTCCAGATCAAGATGTCAACATGGAAAGGAATGTAGTGTTTATCTTCATTATGGTAAGTGCTGTACGTACTTTGTAATCCAGCTTTCGAGTGAACCAGATAAACAATAATAAATTATGTGGCTGGCTTGTTTGAAAGACTTAATCTAATCCAGGATTGTACTTGGATGATTTTGCTTTTATTCAATCACAGCACATGCAGTTATGGAGCTAAGTTCTGCAAAGCTATAGTTACAGCAGTTTTACATCATTTTTGTGTGCCAGTTACATTGCAAAGTCAAAACATCGTTAAAGTCAACAAACCAATTAAAATGATGGCAAACTTTGAAATGAAGTTCCCAACCTCTGTGCCAAAAGCTTTACTTTGTTGACAGTTTGACTCAGAATTGAGACGTTTTCAAGGCCTCTGCAACAAAACATCAACTTACTGAGAATAAAAAATTAATGTTAGGTATTGTCATCAAATTGAGTCACTTAAAAATTTCAACAAAACTTATAGTACTTGACTGATTGTGGTGCTGTACATTCTAAAAATTCCTTAAATGAAAAAATTAAACAACAATTGAAGTCAGGCATTGAACTTTATGGTGTTTGCTGAAATTAAAAACAACAGCAACTCAAAACTTTAACTCATTAACTCAAAAATGTAAAAGTTAAGGAAGGTTAATCTCAACATTCCTTGAACAATTTTGCAGAGAAGGTTGGCACCATAATAAGAAACTATAGTACAGCTAAGCTGTAACTAAAATCACCCACTGCGTCAATAATAAAATGATGTTTTGTTTTAGTCGGCAAAATGTGAAACTAAATCTCTTAAAGAGGTGAATGCAACATTCCACCCAACAATAACTTAATTTTTTGATCATTTTTGGCTGATCACCAAACTCTGGATTCAAAATAAATTGACCATCTAATGTAACTACATCCATATTCATGTTTACTTTATGGTTGGGATATTATTTTCAGTTGTTTAAAGCTCTCATTTTTACTTGGATGGTTGGCAGCACTTAGACTTAAATTGAGACATTTGGAGCAAGAAATCTACAAATGGATATTTGTTATTGTTCGAAATGTTACAACTTTGCACAATGGCAGTGAAAAGTGATGTAAAACTGACTGTAGTTAAGATCAGACATGCAATCTAGCTTACTGAGTCATGACTGACTGACAGCTGATGATATGTTCAAGTGACTAACTGACATTTTAGAATGACTAGTGATCTCTCTTAGACAGTGACGAGTAGCAACTGACCGAATGATTTCAAGCTTATTGAATTGTCTGGGGACTGACCAACTGACTGAAAGATTTATGGCTGATTGATTGACTGAATAACAGACTCCACTGTCTGGCAACTGACCAACTGACTAAATGATTTATGGCTGATTGATTTACTGACTAACTGACTCTACTGTCCGGGGACTGACTGAATGATTAATGGCCTGTTGAATTGCTCGGGGACTGACCATCTGACTGAATGATTTATGGCTCATTAAATTGTCCGGGAACTGACCAACTGACTGAGTGATTTATAGCTAATTGAATTGTCTTGGGACTGACCATCTGTCTGAGTCATGTATGGCTAATTGAATTATCTGGGGACTGGCCAACTGATTCAATGATTCAAGGCTGATTAATTGACTGACTAACTGACTCTACTCTCAGGATACTGACCAACTGACTGAATCATTTATGGCTGATTGATTGACTGACTTACTGACTCTACTGTCCAAGGACTAAGCAACTGATGAGAGATTTCAGGCTAACTGAATTGTCTGTCTGGGGACTGACCGAATTACTGAATGCTGATTGATTGACTGAATAACTGACTCTACTGAATGATTTCAGGCTAATTGAATTCGCTGGGGACTGATCAACTGACTGAATGATTTATGGCTGATTGATTGACTGACAAACTGACTCTACTCTCTGGGGTCTTAGTAACTGACTGAATGATTAATGGCTAATTGATTTGTCCGGGGACTGACCATCTGAGTGAATGATTTATGGCAAATTGAATTGTTCGGGGACTGAACTACTGACTGAATAATTTATTTCTGATTGATTGCCTGACTAACTAACTCTACTGTCAAGGGACTGGCCAACTGACTGAACAATTTATGGTGAATTGAATTGTCCAGGGACTGACCATCTGACTGAATTATTTATGGCTAGTTGATTGACTGAATAACTGACACTACTACTTGCTCAATACATTTAGCAAATGCTAATAATACGGCTAACTGCTTTTTATTAGCAAAAATCCAAAATAATAATAATAATAATAATAATAATGACGATGTTGTATCAAATGAAGCATTTCATTGTTAGAACAACAGTCTCCATTTCCACAATCATAATAATGGGGGCAGCATGTTGCTCCAGAAGGTTACATGTATTTTAAAGAAAAGAATTCTTGAACCATCAGTGAGCGCATTTATAGTTGACAAAAGAAATTCACAAAAGATCTAAAAGTAATAAATGATGTAATTTGTACAGAAACCCTGTGTAATTGAAAAGAATTTAACATTTCTTTGTCATTTTAATTTCTTTAACAGCTGTCAGATGTTTCAGCAAACAGTTCTTTGTCACACCACAAGTCAATCAAAGAGAAGAGAAAAAGGAGAACAAGAGAAGTGGAAGACAAGCTTACAAAGTAAGTAATTCATTGAAATTGTTGAAATTAGGTCCTGTTTGCACTACGACAAAATATAGAGTTTGGTGTTTGCAAAAAACATCGAACATTTTGTAGTTACCAATTTTTTTGTTTTTTTAACCTTGTTCACACTGGAGGCATATGGAAGATTTCATGTATCCAAAAATGGCTGGTCACGTTTATGAAATAAGAAGGTACATTGATTTAGCTGTGAAAGAACAAAGGGTTTTGTTACCTGACAAAAAGTTGTAGGCGTCCCAACTTTCTTGGTTTGGTGACGCTAACAGTGTAAAAGAGGGAATTTTGGTAGGTGAAAATAAAATTGTTGGCTCTAGAAATGGCTTCCTGTTAACAATTTTTTTGCAAAACAAACAACATTTTGCATAGCATGAAAAGGGCCTTCAGTGAAGCTACTCTACAAGCTTACTTGGAGCTCGATCTCTACAAGACATACACCCTTACAGCCATAATTTCTATGCTCTCTCTATCTTATTGGGAATAATTATGTAAATTAAACAATAAAATAATAATTAGATAACACCCCACCAACCCAAACAGACTTGACAAAGTGACTTAATAAACAAGCACAGCAAATAATATCTCAACATGGAACAGGATGCCTTAATAATAGGCTACCATTTTATTTGGGCCAGTCCTCTGCCAGTTAAATTGAGAATTACAATGAGTGGACTTCTTTACATAACAGTGTTGCTACAACCAGCTGTCGGCTTGAAACACTGCAGTAATATAAGTATTCATTAAAAATGCAATGCTAACTTTGAAAAGGGGGAAATCCCATGAATTGTTATTAGAAGTTTCCCTCTAAGGTGGTTGTAGTCTACAATGCACATTGTACTCTATGCTAAAAGAAATGGTTCTTAAAAGTGATAAATTAAATATTAATGTTAATGAATCTATGCTTCTTTTAACTTGGACTGTTTCTTATGTGATCATTCAATTTTGTCTTCAGGTCAGATGACAAACTCCAGATCAAGACTTCAACATGGAAAGGAATTTAGTGTTTATCTTCATTATGGTAAGTGCTGTACATACTTTGTAATCCAGCTCTCGAGTGAACCAGATAAACAATAATAAATATGTCGCTGGCTTGTTTGAAAGACATAGTCTAATCCAGGATTGTATACGTCGATGATTTTGCTTTTGTTCACAGGGTTCTCAATAGATTTTTAAGTAGGAGGTGATCACTGATAAAGGGAGGTTTGAAAGACATAGTCAAAACCAAAGGAGCGGCTATAAATCCCAAAGTATCAATCGCCGGGTGCCGATGATTGAGAACCTTTTGTTCAATCACAGCACATGCAGTTATGGAGCTAAGTTCTGCAAAGCTATAGTTACAGCAGTTTTACATCATTTTTGCATGCCAGTTACATTGCAAAGTCAAAACATCATTAATGTCAACAAACCAATTAAAATAATGGTAAACTTTCAACAGAAGTTCCCAACCTCTGAGTGAAAAGTTTCAATTTGTTGAGAGTTTGACTGTGAATTGAAACGTTTTCAAGGCCTCTGCAACAAAACATCAACTTACTGATGATAAAAAATTAATGTTAGGTATTGTCATCAAATTGAGTCACTTAAAAATTTCAACAAAACTTATAGTACTTGACTGATTGTAGTGCTGTACATTCTAAAACGCCCTTAAAAGAAAAAATGAAAACAACAACTGAAGCCAGGCATTGAACTTTACGGTGTGTGCTGAAATTAAAAAAACAACAGCAACACGAAACTTTAACTCAGTAGCTGATCACCAAACTCTGGATTCAAACTAATTTTATGAACTATTGTAACCACATCCATATTCATTTTTGCTTTATGGTTGGGATATTATTTTGTTCAAAGTACTCATTTTTACTTGGATGGTTGGCAGCACTCATAAAATAACTTGAGACATTTGGAGCAAGAAATCTACAAAATAATGTATACTGGTTATGTTCTAAATGTTACAACTTTGCATAATAGCAGTGAAAAGTGATGTAAAACTGACTGTAGTTAAGATAAGGCAGTTTTTTACATTTCTTTGTCATTTTAATTTCTTTAACAGCTGTCGGATGTTTCAGCAAACAGCTCTTTGTCACACCACTAGTCAATCAAAGAGAAGAGAAAAAGGAGAACAAGAGAAGTGGAAGACAAGCTTACAAAGTAAGTTATTCATTGAAATTGTTGAAATTAGGTCCTCTTTGCACTACGACAAAATATAGAGTTTGGTGTTTACAAAAAACATCGAACATTTTGTAGTTACCAATATTTTTTTGGTTTTGTTACCTTGTTCACACTGGAGCCATAATTTCTATGCTCTCTCTACCTTATTGGGAATAATTATGTAAATTAAACAATGAAATAATTATATAACACCCCACCAACCCAAACAGACTTGACATGGTGACTTGATAAACAAGCATAGCGAATAATATCTCAACATGGAACAGGATGCCTTAGTAATTGGCTATCATTTTATTTGGGCCAGTCCTCTGCCAGTTTAATTGAGAATGACAATGAATGGACTTCTTTACATAACAGTGTTGCTACAACCAGCTGTCCGCTTGAAACACTGCAGTGATGTTATAGTATTCATTAAAAATGCAATGGCAACTTTGAAAAGGGGGGAAATCCCATGAATTAAGAGAAGTTTCCTCCTTTTAAGTTGGACTGTTTCTTATGTGATCATTCACTTTTGTCTTCAGGTCAGATGACAGATCCCAGATCAAGATGTCAACATGGAAAGGAATTTAGTGTTTATCTTCAGTACTGTAAGTGCTGTACATACTTTGTAATCCAGCTCTCGAGTGAACCAGATAAACAATAATAAATTATGTGCCTGGCTTGTGTGAAAGACTAAATCTAATCCATGATTG